ATAATCAATGATTAGTCATTTAGATAGTTTTCATCAGGTAGTTTTCAACTCTTCACATATTTCAGATACCCAGATTCAGATGTACATAATGTATTTGAGAGCATTATGAAGTAATAATTCATAGGTGGATGTCTTATTGGATTTTGGAGTTAAGAATATAGCATAGCGAAAATAGAAGACGAGTTAAACTAACCTGTTGAACCTACTTGTGTCAGTAGCTCTGATTTTGACCAAGTTACATAACTTTTCTGAACCTGTTTCTTATCTAAAAGATAAGATTTTGTGAGGATTAAAAGAAGTGAGAGTACACCTGAAACTTACTGGATTTCATTAACCAATGTCACAAAAAATAATAATAAATTTAAAAATAATAAGGAAAAAGAAATGAGCACCCGGTATAGTTCTTGGCACATACATGTTTAGTAAATCCTAAATTGTGTTTGTTGTTTGTTTTATAGGGAAAGTAAGGATTGCTTTCTTTAAAAGTCACAATGCTATTAATTGATAATGGAAATGACAGAGGTAAATTTTGGGTATGGAAGGGAAGAGGAAAAGAAACTAGTCCTTTTGAGAACAAGTTCCAATTGATAAGACATCCATATGGAGATTTTTTTCAGTGATAAGAGAGCATAACGGAAGATAACTAAATTTTAGTGATTTCTAATTTAATTCCGTTGTGATCGAATACATACTTTGTATGATTTGAATCATTTTAAATGTATTGAGACTTTTGTCGTAGCCCAGAATATGGTCTAGCTCAGTAAATGTTCTCCGTATCCTTGAAAAAATTGTGAATTCTGCTATTGGGTGGAGTGTACTCTAAATGTCAGTTTACGTAAAATAGTCAATAGTATTGTTTTTTTTTGTTTTTTTTTTATTGAAGTCTATACTTTATTTAGATTTTATTTAGATTTCCTTAGTTTTTACTTAATGTCTTTTTCTTTTTTTTCTTACGTTTTATTTTTCAATTAGAGTTGACATTCAGTATTATTTTATATTAGTTTCAGGTGTACAGCATAGTGGTTAGACATTTATATAATTTACAGAGCGATTCCCCCCACCCCGATTAGTCCCCACCTGGAACTATACAAAGTTATTACAGTATTATTGACTATATTCCCTATGTTGTACTTTACATCCCCATGACTGTTTTGTAACTACTAATTTGTACTACTTAATTCCTTCATATTTTTTGCTCAGTCCTCCAACGCCCCCCCACTCCCATTTGGCAATCACCAGTTTGTTCTTTGTATCTGAGTCTGTTTTAGTTTTGTGTAGTCTAATTACCTTACAACAGTATATTTCCATTTCCTCTCCCTCTCCATTTTCCCTTTGTGATATTTCATCCTTTTACCTCTAACTAAAAGAAGTATGTATAAAAAATGTTATGAATTTCACAAATTAAACAGCCAATTATCTTTTTAAAAATATTTAAAATAAGAAAAGATGCTAGATGTTTTTTACATTTCCATGCTCTTTATTCCTTTGCGTAGATTAAAATTTTCATCTGATGTCATTTTTCTTTTGCTCAAAAGACTTAACATTTCTTATTGTGCTGGCTTGCTAAAGATGACTTCTTTCAGCTTTTTTATCCCTAAAAAAGTCTTTATTTCTTTTTATTTTTTTAACAACTTTTTTGAGATATAATTGACATAACCACAAATTGCACATTGGGGCTCCCAGTAGTACAGTTGAGGTGACAAGACAAAAAATTGAAGCAGCATAGTAATGGGAATAATGGTGTTTTGCCTTGAGGGCCCGCCTGACTCTGAGCATTTCATATGTATGCTGTTGGTGTATCTCTCCTTTAACAGGTATTTTCATCTCTGACTTGGTGTACACTCAGTTGAATTTACAAACTTCTCTAGTCCCTAGTCCCTATTCTTAATGCTCAAATAAGTTATCATTCTTAATTAAATTTTGATGATGGTGCTATTTTTCCATTTTTAGTTTTCTCTCCCAGTTACTAAAACAAGACTGGCTGATTACAGGTTCTAGCTTTACCACTTAATAACTGGATGATTCTAGGCAAATTTTATAAACTTTTTGGACTTCATTTCCTCATCTTTAAAATAGATCTTAATTATATAATCTACCTTCTGAGATCATCTAAATAATGTGCTTATATTTAATCTTCAAAAATCCTATGAGTTCTTTTTTACAGAAAAATGCAGTAAACTTTGACTTGATCCTGTTAGGATATAATTGGTAGGAAACTTCAAATATAAAGAATTTGGGAGCGAATTAGATAATTTATTACCATTTTGATGCCAACTAATTTTTTAAATGTATTTTCTAATGCAAGACAAGATAGATTTGTAATTTTAGTTATTTGGAAAATAGACTAAAAATAGCACATTTGGTTTCTGTCCAATAAGTGTTATATAAGCAAACATGATTTTCTTCAGTGCAAGTGGGGGGATGGGTGGGTAGTGCTGCCATGAACTGTAGTATTCTTCATTTAAAAAGCAATCTTTGTCTACGGCCATGCCACCCCGAACAAACCCGATCCCATCTGATCTCGGAAGCTAAGCAGAGTCAGGCCTGGTTAGTACTTGGATGGGAGACCACCTAGGAAGACCAGGTGCTATAGGCATAAAATAGACAAACAAATAAATAAAAAGTAATCTTTGAAAGAAAAACTTTTCTACCTTTTAATTTATTCAAGAAATTGACTAATGTGACTATAAAAATAATAAAATTTGAAGGAAGACAGTAAAATGAGATGTTTATAGTAAGTGTTAAGTGGTTAAGGCCTGTACTATGTTAAGAATACATTCTGCAGATAAATGGGCAGATAAAAAAAGGATAGAAATAGTCCACAAAGACAGGGGAATATGGAAGACATATATCCTATTGTATTAAAAACATACAAACTGACATAATTTTGAAATACCATTTTGCATCTAGTAAAGTAGCCTAGCAGACAATGCTAGTGAGGTTGAGGTGAAATTGTAATTATTCATTGCCAGGTACTGTAAATGACTTAGAACCTTTTTAGAAAGTCAAATGATAGTACAAAGCAAGAACCATGTAGATTTACATTTCCTGGACCTAATAATACTACTTTCTAGAACTTGTCTGTAGATAAATTCAGCCAAAGCTTAAAGGAGATACTCAAAAAAATATTAAGTATAAAAGTACATGTAAATCAATTGGTGTTTTGGTGTTTTGAAAAATAAAGTAGATACATACGTACATACACGTGGATGTTAGGCATTCCCCTACCTCACCAGCACCTGTCACACGTTCCCATGTCATTTTCCATTCAGAGATGGAATATGGAAATGGTTTTATTTTTTCATGAAAGCCATTCACAGGTAATTGCACACTCTCCTCTCCCTACTCTATAACTAAGTCTGTTTGCCGAAGCAGGGAAGCCAGAGAAGACTATGTCCTGAATCTTAAGCTTCTGATAGCAGAGCAAAATAAAATAATTCAGAAAAAAGGGAGCTTTAATGGAGCAAGAACACAATGAGACCACACCTGGCAATGGTACCTTCTGCGTAGAAATGTCAGTTCCAGAACCCACCATTCTGCTCGTTCAGTTTTTCCTCTCTCTGCCTCCCGCTTCTTCCTATCACCTCCCCATCCTGTCGGAGTAAGATTCTCTGATATTTAAGCCATTCCCTTCTTGCCCACAAGGAGAGGAAAGAGATTTGGAAAGGGAAGAGTATCAAAGGAAAACCTCCTGACTCCTCAGTAGATCAACAAAACAGTGGTGATGCTGCCACTGAGTTTAGGAAGCCATGGTTATTTTAGAAAGGAAATTGTCTGTCGCCCATTGTATAAGATTCTGGAGTTACTAAACACATCATTCATACTCAAGGTATGGGTATAGAGTGTTGTGGCACTTAGGAGCCCATGGAAAATCACGCTCTTAAGGGTTTGGCATTTTCTAGGCCTACAGCATAACCAGTACGCAATATGCACTTCTGGGAGTGTTTAAATGACTGACTGCTTTGTAATTTACGTATAAGCCTTGAGGGGCGTATCACCAATTTCTCCACCCCCCCAAAATGTTAGGTTATTGTATGAGATGCAGAACTGTTGAGAAATTCTTTCATCGCATTAATTATTAAAAAGATACCCATTTGGTAGGGATGGAGAGGGGTTAAGTTTTCCTAATTAATTACCATTTGCTCTTTTACAGTCTTGATATATAGGAAAGAATAGAATATTAGGCTTCAGGGGAGAAATACCTTAGATGTGTTTGGGGGAAATCTGTGTCTGAACTTGTGAATGTGAATCATTACAGAGTTCCGTGTTGGAAACCTGGCTTATGTAACCATTTAACAATTGCATATTACTTACTTCTTGTTTTGTGGTTTTATAACTTGCATATTCAGGGAGAGAGAGAAGTGGTGAGCTCAGTTGCACATCAGGGCTGGAAACGGGAGTTGTACTTGAAGTCCTATGGAAAGATTTTTGTGTGGTCAGTTTATGTAAATCTTGATAATTTCGTGTTATGTAGGTGCCTGCACTTCCTTTTTTCTTCTTCTTCATTGACCTTTTGAAAATTGTTCTGGATTTTTTTCTTGAAAAAATCTTAAAAAAAAATTTTTTTTTTTGTTACTGTGAATACATAATCCTCAGGGATTATTTTCAGTTTACTTATTAAATGGTAGTAAATGAACAAAGTTGTCACCCAATGGACAAATCTTGACTGTAGCTACTCAAAGTTGGCAGAACTTGGGTAATGAGCAATAATTTGTCCTGGAATTTTTTTAAGACACATACAGATACAGGTGTTTTCTTTCTGTGAGCAGTTGAAACTGTAACTCACCTCCTGTGGACATGGGTGTCCCAGTGACTGAGAGCCAGCTGTTGGGTGTTTTAACTAAACAGCCTGCTCCTAGTTGGCTGCTCAAATTCCAGTGAGAGAGATTGGCCGCTCTAGAGAATAGAGCGAGACGAGCACGCAGGGTGAGGTTTTTGCAAGGCCTTTCGTGACCCGGTTTAAATTTGTTGAGATTTTCTGCTTTGGCGTTTTCCTATAGGTGCCAGAGTTTGTCTACTTCAGATATTCACAAATGACTCATCTTCCTGTCACATTTTCTTAGACTACAATGACTTAATCTTTGGGTCACTGTTAATGTAGTTTTCCTACCACATCTTGGGAGGAGAAAACAGTGATATTCAAACTCAAGCCTGTTTCCATCTCATGCTGATTGAAACCTGAGGTACATAGAAAATTTTGTTTCTTCCTGAAAATGACATTTTAGTGATTCATTGTTTTCTGTGGGAGGAAGCTTATGACCTTCTCTTTTCTTTTTTCCCTTCTAGAGGGAATCTGGAAAAGTTGTAAGCAGAACATCATTTCTCTAAGAAAATTTTGGGTAACAGAAGTTCTGGATAACAGGTAAAGTGTATTTAAACTTCTTTGGTGATGCTGATAATTACCTATAATTTGCAGAAGTAAATTGGTAGAGGGAAGAAGAGAAATAAAAACTGGGTATACTGAGTGTCAGAGGTTACATTAGGGATTTTATATACTTTACTTTGTTTCAATGGTTTTTACTAGAATTCCGGACATAGTTCTAAGAATCTCAGAATAAAACTATCTTTCCAAATGCTGTTTTAAATGGATTTGTGTATGGATTGGATTTAATGTCTTCACAATTCAATTTGCAGATAGTTTTTAACATTCACAATAAACAAAATTCAGAAATGTAATACAGAATCCTAGAGTCTGCTCTGCTATGTAGCCTAGTTAGGGAATATCTTCTTCTTCATTCCTTTCTGTTTTATTTTAGTTCTTGATCATTGCCAGTTATTTGAAGCTATACTATCTTTTTAACTATTTTTAATACTTTGTCACCAGGTCTTAAAATTTAAGTTTCCTAGTAAGGTACCTTTTCACAATGGAGTCTATGGCCCAAGTGTCCCCACTGTGTTCTCAGTGGCAGTCTTATCATGACTGGACCAAATGAGTACACCGTCATGCTGTTTTCTTATCTGTATCTCTCAAAGTTCTGAAGGCCTTATGAAATAATCGTGTGTGTAAAGAATCCAGTATACTGTGAGAAATACATCTGGAATGACAGCTACACTTTTACCTTTTAAACTAGGGAAGTCATGAACACAAACCATACTTTCTAGTTTGGTGTTTACAAGCAAACAAGTGCTCATAGGCTGAAGTGAATTGTCCTACCTGGGAGTAGATGCTGTAGAGTGAGATGCTGTTTATTTTAACAATCATTCTAGTAAGGGCCTCGAAGTTAGATTTCAAGTATACAAAAAAGTAGTTCCTAGAGATATCAGTAAAAAATTAAATAAGGATTTAATATTCGTTGATTTTTTCCATTTTTTTATCAGGGCAAACCAATTCAGTCACCATGAGTTGGAGCTTCCTGACTCGCCTGCTGGAGGAGATCCACAACCATTCCACGTTTGTGGGGAAGATCTGGCTCACTGTCTTGATTGTCTTCCGGATCGTCCTTACAGCTGTAGGGGGAGAGTCCATCTATTACGACGAGCAAAGCAAATTTGTGTGCAACACAGAGCAGCCAGGCTGCGAAAATGTCTGCTATGATGCCTTTGCACCCCTCTCCCATGTGCGCTTCTGGGTGTTCCAGATCATCCTGGTGGCAGCCCCCTCGGTGATGTACCTGGGCTACGCCATTCATAAGATCGCCAAAATGGAGCATGGCGAAGCTGACAAGAAGGCAGCTCGGAGCAAACCCTACGCAATGCGTTGGAAACAGCACCGGGCTCTGGAAGAAACAGAAGAGGACCATGAAGAGGACCCCATGATGTATCCAGAAATGGAATTAGAGAGTGAAAAAGAAAATAAAGAGCAGAACCAACCTAAAGCCAAGCATGATGGCCGACAGCGGATTCGGGAGGATGGTCTCATGAAAATCTATGTGCTGCAGTTGCTGGCAAGGACCATGTTTGAGGTGGGTTTTCTGATAGGGCAATATTTTCTGTATGGCTTCCAAGTCCACCCGTCTTACGTGTGCAGCAGAATTCCTTGCCCTCATAAGATAGACTGCTTCATTTCTAGACCCACTGAAAAGACCATCTTCCTTCTGATAATGTATGGTGTTACAAGCCTTTGCCTATTGCTTAACGTTTGGGAGATGCTTCATTTAGGGTTTGGGACAATTCGAGACTCACTAAACAGTAAAAGGAGGGAACTGGAAGATCCGGGTGTTTATAATTATCCTTTCACTTGGAATACACCATCTGCTCCCCCTGGCTATAACATTGCCGTCAAACCAGATCAGATCCAGTACACCGAACTGTCCAATGCTAAGATCGCCTACAAGCAAAACAAGGCCAACATCGCCCAGGAACAACAGTACGGCAGCCACGAGGAGCACCTCCCAGCTGACCTGGAGAGTCTGCAGCGGGAGATCAGAATGGCTCAGGAACGCTTGGATCTAGCAATCCAGGCCTATAATCACCAAAACAACCCCCATGGTCCCCGGGGGAAAAAAGCCAAAGTGGGGTCCAAAGCTGGGTCCAACAAAAGCAGTGCGAGTAGCAAATCAGGGAATGGGAAGACCTCCGTCTGGATTTAATCTTAGCTGGGCTTAAAACTTGTACTTGTCGTAGTTTATGGTAAGCAACGGCTCACTGAATAATGACTTCCATTGAGTAAACATTTGGCTCTGGTTATCTTCAGGGATGCTGTTGGCTTATGATCCAAGCTCAGGGGACTCTGAAGGCGGGGCTGGGACAAGCAGGAGAAGGGAAACACAGTGTTCCTGGGCACGTGTTCCAGCAATAATACACTTGTAGAACTTTACATTTGTGTCTTCCAGATCTGGAAAAGAACAGATATATTTAAATCATTCTTGTTGAACAGTTTTTGTATGTACAGTATTATGGTACTTTTTTTTTAGTATGAGAACTTTTTTTTGTACTTGTACATTGGACCACTGTAGTTATACTTTTATATTAAAGGGAAAAAAATCCTAAAGTAATGCCTATTAGGCTAGTGTTATTACTTTGTTCAGCAAATTCTACCCTGGGTTTAAAGTTTTAACAGATGCTGTACCTAATAAAAGTGCCTCTCCTGTTGCAGGGATGATTTCAGATAAGTAAGAAGCTGGAGGAAGAGGAATCAGTTTTCAGTCTTGCAAAGAAAGTTGACTGTAGGAGGTTGAGATCGTCTCTCCTTTACTTGAGAAATCTTCATATCTCATCCATGTGCCCAGATTTGTATCTAGTCTTTGAAAACCTATTTGTATTTTCAAAGGAAATAAGTGAGTCACTGCAGGATTCCTTTAAATATCAAGTGTTGCCAGTGTGTACTTTGATGATGTGTATATAATTTAAGTTCTTTGAAAAAGCAGATACACGAAGGTGTCCCCAGTTCTGTAGCAGTGTGGAGACCCTGGCTAGAATTGTTAAGATTCCTCTATCACGAAGCAAAGCCACGCCTGGAAAATGAGCCCTAATAGGATGTTTAGTTGTGGACCTGTTTGGTTTGCCTTATATCTCTATCCAGAAACCTGCCTCTCTCTAGTTGAAGAAGCCAATGGATATTTTCTTTATATGTTAACATTAGAAATACAAAAATTCCCTTGTAGGCTAAGAATACTCAAAGCTACTTTGTACTACGTATGGCAGGAGGCCTAAATCCAAATTCCTTATTTTTTATAATTTAACCGTGGAACTTTTGTAATTTACATACTTCTGCCAATGTAGGTTTCTGCCTGGAAGACCAGTCGCACCTGGGATTCTATCTGTAAATAGACCTAAAGAGAATTTCAGTATTTATTCCCTATAAATATATCGGTAGGCGTATCTGTTTGTCAATGACAAGCATTACTAGTCACCTAACACTCATGATTTGCAGTATCGTATTGCCATTTTTAACCTTGTATTATTGGGGGGCTTTCCTCTCCCATCACGTTCACATTGTGTTGTGGTTTATGAGCTTCTGAATAAGAGCTTGGTAAAGAGTTAAAGGAAGGGGCCTTTGCTTCGCCAGAGAGCATTTCATTGTGGGTGTCTCTTTTCTAACAGGAAGCTGTCACAAGCCACCTTTGATTTTGAAATTCCAAAAGCATAATTTTTTCGTGTCTTAATCTTAAAATGCCAGGTTCCATTATTTAGGAGCATTCTAGAACAGCAAGTATTGTGCAGTTCTTTTTTTCTTTTTTCTTTGTTGTTCTCCTTCGTATTTCTTTCCCTCCCCCTACAAACAAAAGAAACTCAGTAGAAAATTTAAGCTTATCTTCTAGCCATATATTTACCTTTATTTTGCTATTTTAAAAATCTGTAGATTTTGGCCTAGAGAACTTCCTCAGGATCTCTAAATATCTTAAGCAAAAAAGTAAGTCTGGGTGAGACTGAGGGGAAATTTCAGAAAAAGATATACATATCCTGGATAATTAATTCATACACACACTTTTGTTGTTCTCCTTCGTATTTCTTTCCCTCCCCCTACAAACAAAAGAAACTCAGTAGAAAATTTAAGCTTATCTTCTAGCCATATATTTACCTTTATTTTGCTATTTTAAAAATCTGTAGATTTTGGCCTAGAGAACTTCCTCAGGATCTCTAAATATCTTAAGCAAAAAAGTAAGTCTGGGTGAGACTGAGGGGAAATTTCAGAAAATGATACATGTACATATCCTGGATAATTCATAGACATGCACAGTTTCCTTCAAATGTTTAATAAAGAAATTCTAAGAAAACAGGCGAGATTTTAAATACCGAAGCCTAGCTAAGATAAAGAACTACCAATTAATACTTAAGTCACTAGAGCTTCAAGCACATTTCATAATTGAAGGACAGAAAATACACACACACTCACATCCATCTCTTCAGAGCCTGAAGGAAAACAGAGTGGCTTTGCCAGCGGAAAGGTTGGGGATTTGAGAGTGATGGAGAGGGAAGGAGTCAAGCCAAAATGCCAGACAGACATTTGGCGCCAGAAGCATCCACTTAGTTTCTACAAAGAGTGCCCCTGGTGTTTGATCTTGGCTTGTTCTGATGAGAATGTTATCTTTTGTGTCTGGATAATTCAGAAAGATATTCTAAGTCACTTCACATGTACACGTTTAAAATCTATTTTTATTCTCACTAAAGTTTTAATTTCCCTACTCTCACTGCTTTCTTAGTATATTTCTTTCAGCCTTTGAACATACAAGTTTGTCAAAACCATTTTCCCTTAATGGTGTCTATGACCCTACTAAGAAAATAGCTCTGTCGGTGTTTAGCTTAACCCATTAATTGAGTCGACATTGAATCTCTAAAAATATTGTGCCGGTTATTGTTCTGGAAGTTGCAGGAATTTGTCCATAACGCCTGTCAGCAATTTTTTTCCTATCAAAACCATATTCCTTTGAATTGCCATATAAGACATGCTCTGCCATATTATATTTGCTTCTCTAAACAGAAGTTGGGTGCTTAGTCCTTCACATACTGGGATCAGGATATGATCATCAGCATGTTTTATACCTTAATTTACTGTTGGATCAATTTAGATGTGATGTGTCTTTTGCTCATCTTTGTTAGAATCTATTATTCAGAGAAATTTGTAAAATGAACAGGCTTTTTTCTTAGTTCAAATTCAAGGGGAGAATTAGATGACATTTTCCCCTAAAGAAATGTTAATGTTCATTTTGTGGCTTTGAGTTTGCTTGATGAGTTAAATCTTGCCTGTTTCTGTATTTAAAACCACAAGTGTGTAACTTCATTTGAAGTCAGTCTTTCTGGAAATTTACCTTGACTGATGTCTAATATCTGTAGAATTAGTTTTGATAAAAATGAACTTTGCCATCTAAAATGGTTCTGAAGGCTAGGACTCCCACATATCTGTCTTTTAGAAGGACACCTGTATCTTTAAAGAGAAAAAAACCAGGTACCTTAACTCGATCATTTCTTTGTGGTATGAAATTAGGCAGTTCTCCTTTATTTGTCCAAGTTTCAGGAGCCACTTACCTCTCAGAAGTGTTATGAAATAGTTAGAACCTATGGTAAAAGGTATTAAAAGACCAGCTGTTGTTATAACTGGTCACTTGTCTGAGCTTGGAACTTACAAAACAAAACAAAACAAAACTGACAGTCGTGAGATGTCCTTCAGCGCTGTGTATCGCAGGAATCAGCGGTGGTTTAAAACACTTGCTCAAATCAGTTTATACCAGGAATAAAGGTTATTCCTGTTGGTCATACCTGTGCTTTACCCTTATGAATGTCTGTCTCATTTAAGAGACAGTACACTGCTAAAAATAACATCTGTAGTTTATGATAAGTTTTTGGCCAGCCAGCCAGCTTTTGGTAAAAGGCAAGTGTGTTATACTTGAACCTACTTCAAGAAATGCCTTTTTGTAAAGGAAAAGCCTTTCCTGACTGTAAGGAAAAGTACCTGAAGTCAGAGATATGCAGTTGCTGGTCATTTTAATTGGAAGGTTCCAGGTACTAATTTTAATTTTATAAAATCATGTAATTTCATGAAGAGACTTATCACCTGAAAATAAAGTTGCTGCACCTATATATAGTACAGAGTTTGGAAACCGAATTTCAACTCACTTATATATCATAAATCTGTCATAATTCAAGGTCACCATCAACTGTTAGAATCATTAAGTTGAATTGCATACTTGTCACTTATTCTGGCCACACATCATGGAGAGTCGAAAAGATTTTGTTTGTTGTCTAACGCAGTCATGTTTTGAATAATGATGTTGAGTTTGGGTCGTGCACATTCCATGTTAATAATCATGCTTTTTAAAGGAGCAATCCATAGCATTCCAAAAATCCAGGAGTCTGAACAAAAGAAAGTCCTACTCCCGTGCAAAATCTCTACGGAAATAAAACAAGTAAAGAATTCTGCATTTCAGGGTTGGCTTGTTGAACCAACAAAGACATTTGGCTATCTGCTTCCAAGATTGGAAATCTTTTTCCTCATTGTACTCTCAAATTGTGTTTTCTTTAATAAATCTCTTACAGAAGTCTCTACCTCAGGCACTAAGTGTTAGATGTGGTTAGCATATTGATACTGAAAAACTTAGCTAGGACTTTCAGCTTTTTAAAAGATAATCTAAATGTAAAATTCAGCTGTTAACCAGCAATCTAATGTCATGTGGTGTGCAGTTTGGATATTGTATGTACAGCTAAGGAAGTACCCATTCTAGTGCCAAAGATCACTTGTGAATTTTGTTCTGTATTGTTGATGTAAAATTTTATGGTAGGGGACAGACTCTGTGCTCAGGGCCTTGTCTCTAGGAAGATTTTTTTCAGTTCCAAATGTTCTGTCAGTTCCAAATACAGTTTAGAAGATTCATTTGTGGTCTGTGTATCTTTTCCAAAAACTGAAAATTCAGCTGCTACGAAATGTTATATCGAGGATATAAACCTCATTCTTTGTATAAAATAATGCCCAACAGCTTAATGGTTTACACAGAAAACCTGATAGGAAAAAAAAACTCACCTCACCCATTCACCTGTAAGTTGATCACAGTGGGAATACATGATCAGAGGTTTGGGCTCAAAAGATGCCCTTTTTCACAGCTGGCTTAGAACTCTAGGATTGCTGTGGCTAAATGGATCAGCATATTCGTGGCGTCATAATCTGGGAAGGGTAGGCGGCTGTGTGTGGGAGGAGTGGGGAGGCCGAGGTCTAAGCACAGAAACTGGGGACGCCCTCTCTCTCTGGTTCCCTTTGGTTCTCAAGGCCTTTTCTCCAGGAGTGCCTTCTAGGAAGAGAAGGATCTGGGAGACGGTTGCATTTATCACAGCAAATGCCCTCTGTTCCCCCAGATACTCAGTAGCTGACTGGTTAGGGCACACACAAGAACCCACCCTCAGCAACACATTGTAAACTGGTCAGCCAACCATATTTGGTAATAAACTATTGAGCTGTTTGAGAGCTGTTGGAGTAGTTAAGTCACTGTTTTGAAAGTGCATTCTTTGTCAGACTTGCTACCAGAACAGAGACTAATACCTGGAAAAGATAATCAGCATCAAAGTTAAAGTCGGGTCTCTTCACTATATAGAATTTAAAACTATCTCTAAGGTTTTCGGGGCTTACATTAATACACAATACTTTTAGGGTTTGCCTCCTTCGGTTATTGCAGATTGGAGGCATGTTACGCAGGAGCATGAAGAACTGGAGGTCGAAGTGGAGCTGAGAACAGAATTCAGGTCTGCTCATTGCCCAGTGGCTCAATCCAGCGTCCTTTGCTCTTCTCCTAGAGTATGCAGGAGCAGCTGTCAGTTGGGCCTTCTCATGGAGGGAGGAGTGGGCCTTGTGTGTACAGTGTTTTTCCCACCTATGTAAGAAAGAAGTAATGGAATACTGATTAAAATGTAGGTTCCTTGGACCCATCTCAAGCCTACATAATTGGAACTAATAAGTTCTCTGGTGATTTTTAAAGAACCTATTCTTAGATATGGTGTACGTGTGGTAAAATTCACCGTTTTTAAGTGTATAGTTGAGTACGGTTGAGTAATCACCACCAGAAGATAGAAAATAATTGCATCACCCAAAAATTCTCTCTAGGTAACTATTACGTACATTAAGGTTTGAGAACCACTTGGGAAAAATAAATAGAAACTTGAAGTGTGGGCCAGAATAAAAGAGGAGGAAGGATTGTTTTGAATGATTTCCTGTTTCAAGGAGGTTTAGACTTAGCACATGAGTGTCATCTGCCAGCTCAGAATGACTGATGGCTGCCTGGACTAGAGGCCTGTAGAAGATTCAGACTCATCAATATGGATTCGGGACTCCTGCTTTGTGACTATGACTGCCCATCCCACCTTATCTGTAAATGAGTCAGAATCATTACTTAGAAATTTCTCCATCCTACATTTAGTGACATCTTTGAGGAAATGAGAAATAGGAAGTGACTCAGGATTAGAAAACACAAGGGTAAAGAGATGATGACATGGTGACAAGCATGCATTGTCACCATGAGGAAATGGTACAGCATTCCTTCGCCCTGTCCTCGACATGCTATGCCTCCGTTAGATTTGGGGATTGTGGAAGAAAACCCAAGGAGGTCCACTGCTGGTGCTGCAAGGAAGAGCTGACCGGATTCCCTCCTTACCCTCGGCCGAACCTCCCACAAGTATCCTTGTCTGCTCTGCTCTCTGGGGCCATCACAGCGGGCATCGGCTGGCTGACAGCCTTAAACTCCAGGCAAGGCAGAACCAAGCAACTGTTCATAACCGATTTCCGTGCAGAGGCAGTGACCTGAATGGGACCTGACCATGGGGGAAAATGATACAGAGCTAGATAGCTTTTTTCAATTTTATTTTTAGTTTGTGTAGTCCTGTGGAAGTAAAATTTTTTCTTTGCACTGGGAACATTGAAAAACACTGACAGGGAGCTCCTTTGGCCTGGCCCATTTTTCTGAA